GTGTTTAACTGTTTAAGTTTAACAACTAACGTTATTTCACTCAACTCTCTCCAGTATAACGGTGGAGTTATACAAAAAGATTTATTTTCGATAATGACCGGATTTCGAATTCACGTATATACCTTAACGGCCGATGTGAAAAAAAAAATGTATAGGATGACTTTGATAGATGAAAGTCATCACAGCCCTCAAAGAATCCTATGGAGTAATAGTGCTAATGAGCCACCAAAGACCTATGAGGTGGTAACCGTTACGTATGGTACGGTCAGTTCTCCCTTCTTAACAATGAGGACAGTAAAACAGCTTTCATTAGACGAAGAGAGTAATTTCCATTGGCATAAGCATTCCATTCCATAAGTTTTCCATTGGCAGCACCTGTGTTACGTGAAAATTTTTATATGGATGATTTGTTATGCGGAGTCCGACGTTAAAAGAGGCTAAGGAGTTACAACAGCAGCTTATATCGATTTTGCAAAGAGCAGGCATGCAGTTGCATAAATGGTGCGCGAATCATTCGGAACTTTCTTTAAACCGGAAAGAATACAATTTCTCCGATCCAACTGAAACGAAAACCTTGGGCGTGTCATGGAATCCAATAAAGGATTGCTTTTCATTCAGAGTTAAAGTAGAGCCTAGTGTATCATATACAAAGAGATGTGTCTTATCGTCTATTGCCGGAATATTTGATCCTTTGGGTATTCTTGGTCCAGTTATAGCCAAAGCAAAGATTTTCATGCAGAAGCTGTGGCGTCTTAAAAATGATTGGAAACTTCCTACGGCTGAAAATCAGGAATGGCATCACTTTCTGGTTAAACTAGAGAGCATAAATAGTATCAATATTGACAGACGTTTAGTGATTGATCAAGCTAAAGCAGTTGAGATCCATGGTTCGCCGACGCTTCTGAACGCTGTTTCGGAGCAGCAGTTTATTGCAAGTCCATCGATTCTTCTGGGAGAACACTGGTAAAATTAATCTCGAGTAAATCAAGAGTTGGTCCTTTTAAAAGCCTAACGATTCCCAGGCTTGAGCTATGTGCAGCTGTCTTATTATCAAAGTTGGTGAAAAAAGTCCTTATCGCCTTGACATTAGAAGTGACTCAAGTCTTATTATGGACAGAGCCAATGATAGTTCTCGCATGGATACAAAAGGAACCTATGGACCTTAAGACGTTTGTTCAGCATAGAGTGGCCAAAACTCAAGAACTTTCATCTGTTCAACAGCGGCATCATGTGATCGGATCAGAATCCGGCGGATCTCCTATCACGGGGTGCAGATCCCGATAAACTAATGCATCATAAATTGTGGTAGTGTGGTCCAGCGTTTATGGTGGACAGTGACTATCCAACTCAGACAGTAACTATCTCGGATAAAAGTGAGGAGTTCAGTGCCGAACTCAAAACCCCATATCATAAAGACTCTAAAGACACTTTACCAGTGTTGAATGTGACTGTGAATAATTGCTTACATAATTTACTTAAATTGAGTAATAATTATATAACTATTTTACGTGCTGTTAGTTATATTTTCAGGTTCGTGAATAATTTGAAAAAGCCCTTAGACAGATTGTTAGGACCAATTAGTGTACAGGAAATAACCAAAACAGAATTGTCCCTGATAAGAGTAACTCAAAGTGAATGCTCTGGCGAAGACATCTGCCTATTAATAAGGCACGAAACTGTCTTACATAAAAGCAAGTTAAAGAATCTGAATGCCTTTCTGGATTCTGATTTAGTTCTCAGAGTAGGAGGCCGTTTAGATAAGACAAATCTTACTTATTTTGCTAATCATCCGGCAATATTACCTAAAGTTCACAAATTTACTTTATTAGTTATTAAATATTATCACAAAAGATTTTTACATGTTGGCGCAACCGCATTATTAAGTCACGTGCGCGAAACGTTCTGGCCATTAAATGGTTGTTCTATTTGTCGTAAAGTTGTACATGATTGTATTGTATGTTTTAAAAACAAACAAGTTGTGTGTAAACAAATAATGGGAAATCTCCCATCAGGCGGAGTTGTACCAGATTATCCTTTTAATTGTAGTGGAGTGGATTTCTGTGGTCCATTTTTTATAAGATATCGTAACCAAAGAAAAGGAATTTTACATAAAATATATGTTTGCATATTTGTATGTTTTGTGTCAAAAGCAGGTGTATTCAAAAGATGTATTTCCAAAATCTGTGTTTTACCTATGTTTGAATGAAAATTGTTATATATTAAGTGTATAAGAGATATTGTTTTATATTGTGTATATGTTAACTTTTAATGAGAATTATTTCTTGTGTTATGTATTGTATTATGGCTAAAGTACTATATGTTACATAGTTATGTTACTGAAGTGTTATCTCTACATATAATAAAAGAAAGATTCTGTCTGTGTGTGTGACTTTCGTTCGTGCTGCGCGTAAGGTAATAGACCCACGACAACGAAATTTGGTACATAGGTGCATCTAGACAAGAGCCAGTGCACCTCGAAGAGATTTTTTCGAAATTAGAATTAGAATTTTTTTAATTTTATGTTTTGTGACGAAATCGCGTCATTTTGAGACATAATGGGCTATAGGAAAGACATAATGGGCTATAGGAAAGCGAGATTTTACTCTACACACTCCATTTTCACATCGTCATGAAACGTAGGCACTTAGCTATTTTACGAACTTAAAATAAATTTCATGTTTCAATAAATCCATTAAATTGAAATTTATTTAACAAAGGGAGCTTAACACCTTTTCAACGGGATTTTTTCTAAAAGAGTCTATTTTTAAAAATGTACAGATTATTTTTCTTTCATTTTTGGACACGTTAAACTTTTATCCTTGCGACTGCTTTTACAAAAAGAATTTTGGAAAAATGATAATATTTTGTATTTTTAAAGAATTTTTTAAATGAAGCTTCCGAGTATACTTCTCATATCTCACGTCTTTAAAAATGTGATTTTGGCAACAATTTTCCTGTCTTATTGTTATTGATAGATTTTTGATGAAATCGCATCATTTTGAATAGTTTCATTCTTTTAGAAATATGGGTTTGGCATCAATTTTCATCGTATTTCTTAATTCACTGTTTTTAGGAGATTGGCATATTTCATTGTCATTTATATATATATATATAATACATTTTTATTGATTTTTTTTTTATAAAGTTGTTCTGCAGAGTAAAATTCTGCGCAGAATTTTATGTTTTTTTAGCTGCTTTCATGTTATTTTTTGCTTATTTCACTGTTTGTAAGATATTGAAATGTTTTGCATGATTTTTTTTCTTCAACGGAAAGTTGGTTAATTTTTTATTAGGATAATTAATATTTGTATTAAGGGATATAGCTTATTTCATTGTAATCTTTTTCTCTTGAAAATATAAGATAAAATACCATTAATTATACTTTGCTTTTCAGAGTTTTTTTGTTTTTTGTATTCTTTTATGTTATTTATTGCTCATTTCACTGTTTCTAAGATTTTGAAAAGTTTTGAGTGATTTTTTTAGGAAACAAAGTTCTTAACCTCCTTTATACCATTTGAGTTCTTAAGATTTTGCAAAGGAAAGTTGGTTAATTTATTTATTAGGATAATTAATATTTGTATTAAGGGATATTGCTTATTTCATTGTAATTTTGTTATACGTAATAACTTTTTTTATGAAGTTGTTCTTCAGAGTAAAATTCTATGCAGGTTTTAAATTTAACGTTTGGTGTTCCTTTCAGCCATTTCTCCGGCACATTTAGCCAGACGAAGGCTGGCAGCGAAGCTGCTAGTAGTGTTATAATTTGTAGAAATGTCTCATATAGTTTAGTGATTGAATGTTTTATAAATATTTCAATGCCGGGGGGGGCATGTTTGCGCATGCTTTAATAGCAGCAGCGCCCCCGAGCGGAGAGCGGCAGAGATGAGATGAAGAGAATGGTTAAGAACCGCTGCGTGAGTGATGTGTGAACTCAGTTTGAAGTTACTAATAAACAACTATAGCTGTGAAAATGTTAATGTAATTATTTTGTATAAGAGTATACTTAACAAATACCATCCTAGAGAATATTTCTGTGCAAAGTTACAGAACTGTGTTTCTTTTCGGAAGATTATTATCGGTTCTGTATGCATTCGATACATTACAAAGCCATACACACGTAACGATATCACTGCCGATTATATCACTGCAAATCGGAGGAGATTCTTTCTCGCATAATAACGATGATATTTCGAAATAAATTCTGTGATTTATTGACATAACACCTCTCTGATGATTATGAACACTATAAATATAAACAACAGAATATTTTGAACAAAACTGCAGATTTTATACACGCCATAATCAGACTCCACCGCCGAATGTAATCATATAAAGCAGGCTGTTTACTTTTCAATGTAACATTCTTGGGAACCAGGCATTACAAACATATTCATTTAAAACTACTAATTAAATATCTAATTTCTAATACATATCCTGCTCTAGAACTCAAAATACATGTCAGCTTAATAGAATCTCTTGTTTCAAACTTCGCAGTTCAGTCATCTAGCATATAATATTTATTTTCTGACAGTTAATACTAATCACCCAGTTCTTATTTTTAAAACTATTTTCAGAAAGAATGAAATGCGCCCTTAAATATGATTCATAAAAAATTTCAATTAAAAAGGAATTATTTTATTCAGTTAGATATAAATTTTACTTGATATAAATTTACTTATTACATAATAGCTTGCTTACATCTTCTACCCTGAATTGTTTAAATAAATTGTGAAAGCGAAATTTTTCGAGAAATCGTTAGTTCTTCCCAAACGTTGAAAGTTTCGCGAATTTTGCCTTTTCATTTCCCGATAAAAGTACTGCCCTAATGTTAATTCATTTCATCCACTGAAATATAATACTAATAATCCTCAATCTAACGTAAGCCTGACATCAATGTGCATAGGTCTCTACTAATAAGTACAGAACAGAATATCATAATTTACTACAATTTTTCCCAATGCATATGTTTATGCATTTATGTGAAAAAATATAGCACTTACCAGTTTCATCTCTTTTTTGATACAACGAGTGATATCGACCTTCTTGCTAAACCTTAGTTGTTTCACAGCAATGATAGTTCCTTTAAAAACTGCTGTATGAGTGAAAATTTGTTCGATTACTTTTGATTCCACGGAAATGTGACTGGCCAAGCTCATCTAATAAACAGAAAAAGTTCATTGGGTACACTTAATTTATTTGCACATTTCATAAAAAAGAATATAGTCAGTTAAAAATACTAAAAAGATAGTAGATACATATAAAAGTAATACAAATACTAAATAAAAGTAAAAAAATACTAAATACATTGTAGGGTTTATATTTATTTTAACTAACATTTATTTTAAGTTTAAACTATCTTTCCTGTCAAGCCTTACTTTCCCCTGGAACTGCCAATGCCAGAGTATGTAAAGTTTAATAGAACGCGCAAGGATTCAAATTATCAGCGGAAGTATTCTGATTTAAATAGAAAGGAAACGAGTTCGAGGTGTGATATTCTTACTTCACGAGCGCGGAGGTAGTTGGCCAGAAATTGAAGAACCCCGCGTTTCGGCCTGTGTGCTTGCCTGGAAGTAGTGTTAATCGTTCAAGTGATCTTCAAGTTTCCTGAATTAGCAGCGGTATTGTAAAACGCGTGAGTCAGTTACTTTTAGAGAGCCTCGTAGTTAGAGTCTTGTCTTTAGTTTCTTTTTAAGGTTATTATTTTTATTTGACCGCCGAGTTGGCGAAGTTTGTGAGCGTCAAGAGCACGCACTTGTAATTTATTACGTTGAATAAAAAGGGACTTAAACCCTTAACAAGACTCTGTCTTTTATCCAGTTTTCACAGTCACCTCTTGGTTGCGTGCAAGTTGGAGGCGCGCAACGCTACATTGGCGCCCGAACACTTATCGAACGGAAATGGCCGAAAATTGGATGGAAACCGCTGGACAACACCAAGAAATGACAAGCAATTGGAAGGAATTGGATACCTGGTCCAGACTTTGAGAGCGTCAATCAAGCCAAACGTCCATTTCGACGGGAAATATTCGGTGGCGGTATTTCTAGAAGGTCTAGAAAACCACTTTCAGCTCTACCCTGTTTCCTGAAAGACAAAAAGTTGCCATCGCCACATCAGCACTAAGAGGACAGGCCGCGCTATGGTGGAAAATATAGGCAAATTTTTATTAGGGGAATTTGGAAGCCCAGACATATACATTTGAAAATTTCAAAAAATCGTTAGTAAAGGTCTTCCCCTTAGTGAAAGATCGAGCACGGCTGGAAGCCGAACTATATAGTTTCTATCAACGGGATATAGAAGAATTGACGGACTTTATTCTACGAAAAATTAAGCTGACGGATATGCTGTATGGGAAGAAACCCGATGCGGAGATTATTGAAATAATCTTACCAAGATTGTTACCCGCTGTTCAAGACTACTTTGAAATTAGAAACCCAAGCACATTGCAGGAGCTCTTCGAATTGGCGGTGAAGTTTCAAAATCGCAGAATAGCGGAAAAAGCCAGAGGGGCAACGTATTCTCAAAGTACCAGAAGGAAATCTTCAAATGAGGAAACCAGAAATGGAAATCGCTCTTATGGGGGAAAGATCTATCAAGCTAACTCATCGAAACTCGAAGGTCAAGACCCCCAAAAAAAAATTCGAAAATAAACATCCGCGTACCCAGAAGGCACAGATTGAAAGGAAAGCTTTAAACGAGTAGAGGGGCCTGTGAAAGGGAGGGTCCAGACCCCGGAAGTTTTAAAAAAAAACCCTCAAATAGACATTTAAATACGGTCATCGTAAAAAAACTCACATCTACCAAGTATACAAGTCCTGGTTGGCGATGTACCAGTAGAAGCCCTCATCGATACAGGAGCAGAAGGAAATTTTATGAGTGAAAATTTCTTCAAAAAGAATTTTTATAGGGTACGATTATTTAAAACCAAAAATACGGAAATTATAGCGGCCGCAAGGAAAAACATGTCACTGCATCGGGAAATTATCATTAAACTTACAGGTAAAAGAGGAAAGCCCTCAAAGTATTAATTTTTATAGTGAAAAAATCTGCAAAATCCTCTTATTTTAGGTATGGAGTTTTTAAGGGCCGCGAGGGCCAAATTAAATTTTCAAGACAGTTTCCGTGGTGTTGGAGATGGACCAGAGGATGGTGGAACCTGTGGAGACACCGCAAGTGGACCTTAGCCATCTGAATGACCATGAAAGGCAAGCAATACAGCAAGTGGTGAGTAATTGTTCTAACTTGTTTTCAGAAAAAAAAAACAGGAAATTGTCAATAGTCACGCATAAGATTCAATTAAATGCCGCCGAAAAACCTTGTAGGACTAAACCTTATCGGTACGACGAACAAAAAGACGTAATCATCGAAGAACATATTCAGGGGATGTTAAAGAATAAAATAATAACGCCCATAAATAGTGAGTACGCGAGTCCAGTCGTACTATGTAGGAAAAAGAACGAGTTTCCTCCTTCGGATAAAAGGGCTTGGAGGTTTGCTATTGATTACAGAAAACTAAATAGTATTACTAAAAATTCCAGTTTACCCTTTGCCGGTTATAGACGAGATCATTAGACAGATCAAATCGACAAGATATATGTCTACTTTGGACTTAACGTCTGGCTACTATCAAATAGCTATGAGACCCGAAGACATACATAAAACCGCGTTTATAACAAAATCGGGCACTTATGCATTTTTACGCATGCCCTTTGGGTTGTGTGGGGCCCCATCAACATTCCAGAGAGCTATGGACATTGTTCTAAAGCCTGTCCTAGGAAAATCAACTTTAATTTATCTAGATGATATAATTAAACGAGTAGTACGTTGGAACAACACATTAATGATCTAGAAGAAGTTTTTAAATTGTTAAAAGAGGCCGGTCTTACAATTAACGCCTCAAAATGCAAGTTCGCAACTAAAAAACTTAAATATCTCGGTTATAAAATTTCGCAAAAGGGTATAGAAACGCAAGATTCAAAAATAAAAGCTATCAAGAATTTTCCACCGCCCAACACCGCCAAGAAACTTTCTTCTTTCCTTGGCTTATGTTTCGATACATATCGATTTTTCATAAAAGATTTCGCTAATATTGTTGAACCACTCTTAGTAATCAAAAGAAAAAAGGGTAAATTTACGTGGACAGCGGAAGCAAACACAGTTTTTGAAAGATTAAAAGAAGCGCTCCTTAATGCCCCTGTTTTAAAATTCCCGGAGGGTGACGAAAACCTGGAAATTGCAGCAGATGCGTCGGACTATGCGGTGGGTGCGGTTCTTATGCAAAATAACCATCCTCTGGCATTTTTTAGTAAAACGTTGAATCAACACAAAGGAATTATACAGCTACAGAGAGAGAAACATTAGCCGTATTAATGGCTGTACACAAATTTCGAGTTTATTTCGGCAAAGCGCCAGTAACAGTCTTTTCGGATCATGCGGCTGTTGGTAGACTTTACTCGGGGAAAAACCTAACGCCCAGGTTAATAAGATGGGCTTTAAAACTCCAAGAATATAATCTAACAATAAAATATAAACCGGGTAAGGAAAACAATGTAGCTGACGCACTTTCTCGTATAAAACTGGACGATGAAGGTAATGAACTTAAATGCGCTGTGTTGACTTCAAAAATTTTAGATTCTAGAGATACCATTATTACTGAACTGAAAGCTGATCCTGAATTTGGAAATATCTATGCTTATTTGAAAGACCCCGAAAGCTTTGAGCACACAGATATCGATGCGATAAGAAATAGAGCAAGAAAACTATGAAATAATAGATAATTTATTATTTTATACGAAAACAACAAACGAAAATCTTGAGTATAAACCAGTCATCCCAGCCTCGCTTCGATTAAGCATTTTGAAGGAGTTCACACGACGCGAAAACAGCGGGTCCTTAGGGGTCAGAAAGACTTTAAAAAGGGTACGCGAGGCGGTATATTTCCCGCAATTATACAAAATAGTAACGGCGTATGTCAGGTCCTGCAATCAATGTCAGTTAATAAATGATATTAATTACAGCCCGGCCGGGTACTTAAATAGCATTCGCGCTACATTTCCGAATGAAATTTTAGGCATAGATCTTCTTGGTCCCTTTCCCCAGAGCGAGTTAAATAAAAATCGTTTTCTTTTAGTAATAGTAGATCATTTTTCAAAATGGACAGAAATTGTTCCACTTAAACGCGCGTCAGCCAAAACAGTCGCAGATGCATTCTTACACAGATACATTTTAAAATACGGTGCACCGATAAAAGTCATTAGCGATAACGGAAAACAATTCATTAGTCAAATATTTGAAAACATATGCAATGGACTTGGCATACGCCATATCAAAATGGTTCCGTATAGACCACAGGCAAACATAGCAGAAAGAGTTGAATAAAAAACATAGTAAAAATAATTCGCAGTTACGTGAGCACACATCACAAGCGCTGGGATGGCTACATAAATGAATTAGCTTATGCTTTAAGAACGGCAAATCATGATACTACGGGAAAAAACCCCAGCAGAATTATTTTTAGGCCGAAAAGTTAATTACGCCTTTAGATAAATTATTCTTTGTGCAACAAAGAGAGCAAGAGTTTTAAACAAAAAGAGGTGCAAAGAACTGGTTGATCAGGCGCTTAAAAGCTCGGATACGGCAAGAAATAGGCAGAAAGTATATTATGATAGAAAACGCCGTGAAGGCAGATTTTAAAGTTGGGGATAAAGTATTGAAGCGGAAATTTTCTTTATCAAGTGCCCCAGACAATTTTACGGCAAAGCTAGCTCCAAAAGTTTGAAGGCCCCTATGTAATTCAGGAAATCAAAGGAGTAGTATTATATCTTAAGAAGAACGAGAGAGGGGAAATCTGTAAAGCAAGTCCCGACCAGGTGAAAAAATACTATAATCCAAATGATTTTGAAATCCTTAAAAGTTTCTTGCAGGACTCAAGTCTAAACGAAGTAGAAGGTCCAGAAAATAACAACAACTATTCCACCACCCAAAGAAAGCAGAGAACTGAAGAGAGACCTAGCCCTTCTACAACCCGGACGTCGGTATCAAAAAGAAAAAAAATAACTTCAAACTCCAGCGTTTAAGAAAAACAAAAATACAGATGCACCGGGTAAAGAAACCGTGGTAAAGAGCAAAAACACCACCTACAAACGGATCGCAGGAGAAA